TTTTGTTAAACTTACTTGGTTAATTCTTCCAGACTTCTAAATTTGGGCTAAATCCAAATATAATTGACATAATTTTTATGATTTATTTTTAAAGTTCGTTTTTTAAAAAAAATTCGAAAATAATTTTGAATTATAACCTACAAAAGTTTTACCATCATCTTAAAGTATATGTATTTCTAAGGTTACCTGCAAAATATTAGAGTTTTCATTTCAGAATTTCCTAAGATATACCTGAATGTACATATTGGCGCATTTTCCGATTTGGCATTTTCATTCTAAGGGATAATAACGCCAAATGTGGTTTACTCACTTATGTTATTTAAAATTATGTGAAAGTATGAACAATGATTTTTTCTCCGCTCGTGTGCAATGAAATACGGAAAAAGTTCGCCAAATGAATTATTCCTGGTGCAAACTGAAAAAATGCGGCAAGATAAATTTTTAAATTTCTCCATAAATTTGTTGCCAAAAATTACAAAATTTAATATTTAGGCATAGTTTGAGTCGTAGAATCGAAATATGGGAAAATATTGGCATTTCATTTCAGGAAAAGTCCGCTTTTGCGTGAAAATACCTATATTAGAACAATGCTATATAGAAATCTAATACATATCCTAAGTCGCGCTTTCGGGACATGAAAAACGCAAGATGAATTTCGTCAATCGGACCTGTAGAAGAGATGTAAAACTGAACCCCCGTTTTTTCGCAGTGTATATGCCTTAGTAGTCTGTCAAACATTCGATGACATTTGAAGTCAACCAAATTGATTATTATAAAAGTCTGCATTAAATAAGACTCGGCATCACACACAGAAACACGATGAAAAAAGGAAAACAATTGAAACGAAAAATTTTAAAATATTGCTGATAATATCAGACAATAAGCTTTAACAAAATTTATTTTCTATATTTAAAATCTCTGATATGCAAATCATTTTTCGCGAAGGGTTTGAAAATATTTGCGTAGAACAAACTATGGTAACTATAGATTCATTGTTTATTGCCCATTTACTTATCTAGAAAATAGTTTTAATAAGTAATATAACTAAAGGCTTCCAAAGTAACCTTATACTCCTCGAAGTTGTTAGCAGAAAGTAGCAATAGAAAAGAAAAGAAAAGCAAATGGAGCAGGATGACAATACAATTTAGAAGGCGCAGGATTAAAAAGTAAAGAAATTTAGAAGAAGAAGGCATTACAATAAGTGATTAAATTCTCAGTGTTAATGGATAGTTTTGGAGATTTAATCTAAAATTCTTCATATTTCAATGTATATTAAACTTTGAGAACATTATTAATAAACAAAACTTTCAGTGTGCCTACCCATCTGGATTCTTTTAATGCTTCTCAACATTCATTTATTATTTTCATTTCAACTGGCAAAGAGATGAAACGTTTTCTCTCCGTCAACAAGAATAAAATGTTATGTAGCTTTAACGGTCAGAATAACATGGGGAAGAGGGTACAGAATTGAGCCGGTATTGTAAGAGCTTTTGTGTTGGATACTGAAAATGAGAAATGATTTTTGGAAATATATGAGCTTTGTAGAGCATAATAAAATATATGCTGCATATAGTTTTAATAGAAAACTTCAGAAATACAGTTAATAATATAAGTAAAAAATAAATTAAAGAGAAAAAGACAAAATAAAATATATTCTATGCAAAATACAGATAATGTTATATATGTATGAATGGATGTAACAAAATGTCGAAATGTCGAAGGTAATGAAGAAGTGGACGTATGACGAAATTTTCTCAGATCAGTATTCACTGAAGTATATATGCTGAAGTGAAATAAAATAAAGCAACACAAGCATATATTTCACTTATTCTGAGAAGTATAAATGATGACAGAAATGGAGATTATAATATGAATAACAAATAAAGAATAATGAAGTTACGCTCACGCTTTATCTTTATTGGTTATTTAAAGATTTGATTTGAAAATATTGTTATTATTATTATTATTACTACCTATAACACTAATTTTATTTCGGACATTATATAAATGTATGCGTTATGAATATTTGATAATAATCATGTGAAAAGGATTGACTTTGAAAAGACGCAGTTGAAAAATGTTTCCAATAAGCGTGTTGCAATGCTTAAGATTGAAAAGAGAAGAAACCAAATTAAAGGGCCTATTAATAATTAAAATTAGAATTTTTCCATATTGTAATTGCGTAAATCTCATCGTGTTGATTTGCATAGAATAAGCATGCAATGTATATTTTAAAATTTTTGTTAACATTTGAAAAGATTTTAGCTGTTTTTTCTCAGAGTCTTTTCAAATTGAATTTCGTATTGCTGATAATGGCCTGAGAATCTACTGAATGATAACGCTTTATATACGATTTTTTTAAAGGTTTCGTTCTTTATTTAATTGCAGCATAATATAGAAATAGTTCAATGAAACATCCTCATAATATACGAGATAGTAGGTAAAATCTTTCTTAATACGCTTAATATCGATTTTTTAAACTTAATATACGATTTTTATGCTTTCTACGATTGTTTTACAGGTTTCTTTCCTTATTTCATAGTATGCAAATAGTATAATGAAACACCCGCGTAATATCCAAGGTAGTAGGTAATGTAATATCCAAGGTAGCAACATGCAAAGCAGTTTTGTGAAAAGGAATAGCTATCACTTAAAACTGATTCAGTATTACTTAAAATAAAACTGATAAATTATTACATAAAGCAGATTTAAGGAAAATACTTTAAATGTATTTATGCAAAATAAAAGGTATGGGATCATTAATTTCGTTTCTCTAATGACTTTATTAAAGATTCTTAAATTTGTTCAAAACTATTCCACGAAGCGGACTTTACGTAGAATCGATTCGAAATGATAAAATGCCTTTCACTGAACTGCGTCATTAAGCGATAACGTGCTCGAAGCTTATCCAGAAGAATGATAGTTATGAGAGTCCTTCGCTCTAAATCCGAGGGCATAAATATCTGTTTACCTCTATTGCTTCTAACAGAGCTTGTTGTCAAAAGCCTAAACTTTCTTTGCTATGATCGTGCTTTTCAAGGCTCCAAACTGATATATATATATAGCATCAAATGTAACCAGCTATTTTTAGCTGGTTATATTTGATGGTTTATTTATTAACCAGCTATTTCATTTATTGTGAAGTTTCAAAGTGAGCATATAATAAACGCAATTAGCATGGCACAAAGTTTAATAACATATGAACTTTCATTTACATACAGAAATTATCCACATTTTGTATCAATTAAGATCATTAAAATCCGGAAGATAATTTTATTTCTTAAATGAAAGTAAATTTTTAGGCGTAAATGGTTTTGAATTTGGAGTTAATGATAAGGAAAAGTTTTATCCATTTCCAGAGAAATGATACTGATTTTTCGTCTTCATAAAGTAAGTTTTCTGCATTATTTTCTCAGATCTGTGTCCTTTTTGACTGAATAAAAATATATTGAATTGTGCCCTTAGCACAATAATTTAATGCAACATGATAGAAAAAAATTAAATGGAAGTAATATAATTTGAACGCGTTTTGGTGAACATACTATAATTAAAATTATTCACTGGAGAAGATAGATTTTATAAATATAATTACGCATTTGAAGAAGTTTTTAGGATTATTTTAGAAGAAAAAAGAAATAAATTATCATTTGAAAGAGGCATGATTATTAGCTATGGGAGGTTTGTTTAGTCGCGTTCATCAGTAGATTCACAAATGTATGTGAACCACATTGACAATGATGTTACAAGCTCCCAAAGGATTAAATCTATTATAGAAGTTATAGGACAAGGACAAATGAATGAAATATGTGCAATTAGAAAATAACTTTAAGATGTATTTTATGGAGAGTTCAAAACTAAAAAAAATGAGAAAATAAAATGCCATTTAAATGACTGTGATTGTTTTTAACAGAAAAATGTTTACAGTGATACAGGAGAGGAAACAGTAATTATTTTTTGCGAGGTTGAGAAACCTCTTCATTACAGCAGCTGTCAATTAATTGATATCTTTATGAGAAGAGACGATGAAGACAAACATTAAGATTACTTAAAACATAAGGATAGAAAGAAATCATTTTATAATTAGTAAGAGAGACAAGATTCAGATAGGGAAATAAAAATAAACAGTTCATGATGAATTACGGTATGAAAACTAAATTTGTTTCGCTTAAAAGAAAAAGGTTGGGAGCCTCTGAATGTGGAATTCAAAACTAATAAGTTTCTGAAAAATTAGTTTTCTTTTAAAGTTAATAAGATGCCGCTAACTATCAAAGCAGAGGTAAACATAATTTACTCCAAGTATTAAAGTAAATGTCAACAAGAAGGGAAGTTAAGGTAACCTCCAATAACTCTTCCTTTCATAACTGGTGGTGATAATAATTAAAAAAATTATGAGAGCCTTGTTTAAAAAAATTTAATATGTAAGCCACAAAGTAAAATGTGAAAGCCTGTTTAAAAAATTTGAATATGTAAGCCAAAGAGTATAATGCGATAGCTAATTTTCTCTTTCACTAAGAAAGCACAGTGATTCTGAAATCTCTACAAAACTTCAACTTAGAAAATGCTTAAGCTATAAAATATCGTAGATTATCTTTATTCTACATGCGATAATCCAAGGAAGAGCAATGAACAATGCAGTTCAAAAAGCATGATTACCTTAGAGTAATCTATTTCATAATACCTAAGAGATATTTCAGGCATTCTAGGAACTAAATTCTTAAAAATAAAGGAAATTCGTAATAAATAGAGCTTATTGGAATGGAAGTAATTACTTTTCTTTTGGTTCGATCTTGTGTAATCGTTGCAACTGTATACCAGTACCTCAAGCTGAAAGACATAAGTTAAGTGTTGAGCAGTTATTCCTTACGTGATTTTAATTTTTTTGTATGTATACTAGGTTTACGTTTTGTCGATTTTTTATATATGTACTAAAAAAACTATAAAATCAAAGTAGAAACGATCAATAAAATTTAATGACAAAAATATTTGAATTTTTTTCTTACCTGTTGTATCGTTGGGCGTCTTGGAGTTTTGCTGTTCTTGGTTGTTGTTGTCTTGGTGGGGCGGTGGGGGGATGCGGCGGGGGCTTCCGTCGACCATCATCACGCCACCACCGCACTCCGCAGACTCCTGTAAAGAGAGAAGAAAAACTGTTTTTAAAACCTCTTTTCTTATAAGTGGGCGAAGTGTTAAAAAGGCTAAATAAAACAATTGTGTAAATTCTTGTTTTACTTCATGTAATAAGAAATTACTTTTCTCGTTGAAAAATCATTGATAATGGTCTCTAATACTTAATATTATATACAGTTTTAACAAATATGCAAACAATTACGCAATACATATGCAAAAAATAATGCATAGCTTTATTAAATGCTAAAAGATGCAGTTTTATTAAAATTGGTAGATCTAAGCAAATGTTTGTAATATTTTTTGCAAGTAGCTATGTATAAACAGTTTCATTAATTATATAACCTAAAAACCCTACTAAAGCTTATTTAAGGATAACTGATAAGTGTAAATCATTATGTGAATTATAGTATTAGCACAAAGAGGTATTATTTAGAAATACATTTTCCATTCGGTTCATATTTACAGTTTTGTAGATATTAATATGCTAAAATGCGTTTAGAAATACAGGTCCTTTTAGAATAGCATAGGTCATAAATATTCTCCGTTTCTATGCTTTTAATTTATTCAGTTTTATAACTTTGTTTAATAACAAATGCTTAGCTCATTGCAAGTGCGTGCTTTATAGGAAACCTAGAATTTTATTGCTACTGTTTGGAAGATAAAAGTGCACTAACAAAGAAAAATACTAATATTTTATAAATAAAAATCCACACAATATAGAGATCAAAAATCATCATTTTTCGAGAGTCATCACGATAAGAAAACTGTGGGTAATGATTTGTAAAATTTGCAAATTTATCGACTTTTTTGTTTTAATATGTTATATGAAGCAAGTCTCAAAACTCAAACCTCATCAAGAAAAATTTCAAATATTTATCCGTATCTGTTAAACGATGAAGAAAATTTTAGTTGTTTAAAATCCATAATGTAAGCAGAAGAATGATGTCTCAGCAAATAATATAAAATTTATTAAAAAGAGTGGATATTGGTGCAATAGGATTTTTCATATATTAAGTAAAAATTGTTTGCGCATGGTTTTGTGAATATATCATGTTCGAATTGGTAGACTACGTTTTTTTGGCTTTTATTAATTCAAATACTTTTAACATAACCAAGCGCAACCGCAATCCTTTCAATTCAGGCTCAATTTGATAGAACAATTTAGAATTCTTAAAATTGGACTATGGTAGATACATAGACAACATAAGCATATAAGTCATAAATTACTTATCTTATTTGTATTATATATAGGTCAATACTTATTACAATACAAAATCAGTGGCATAATTTCAAAATAAAGCGACCAAATGATTATATATATATATATATATATATATATGACGCTTTTAGCTTAAAACACTTTTGAATATGTAACGTTGGAGAATTTAAAGTAAAAATGATCTGGGGTGAGAATTAAATAAAGATGTGGAATTAAAACAGCTAACGTCTTCTTTGTCGTGATTGGATGCCACTTTACACTCAGCCACAACAACGCCTGGACTCTGACGCCAAGCTTCGTCATTCCTGTGCCTGGCTGCCAAAATATTACATACACTCTTTTGCAAAAAATCGAAGAGCCATGAAGGGAGTAGTTGGTTTTGATGAAATTGAATATGTGTTTAGCTCATACACAGATAATAAAATGATTAAAAAATCAAGGTCATAGTACCTGTTCACGGCTCACAATCACCCAGGAAGTGTTCAAATTAGTTAGTTGTTTGAACCGGCCCTGGTGGCGATGCTTGCTTAAAGTCGTCGAGACAAGGCGTGGTAGAAGTTCCTAATGTCATCCTGCGACACATTCTGCCAGGCAATTATCAGTTGTCGCTCCAGATCTGCATATTTTGGGGTGCCTGAATCTGGCAGTCTATTATGCCCCAGGCATGCTCGATTGGTGAAAGGTCTGATGACCTTGCTGGATAAGGAAGAGTATCAACCGCACGGAGACAGTCCAGAGATATGCGAGAGGTACGTGGCCTGGCAATAAATGATTTCTGCGAGCCCGAATCAAATAACATCAATTCACTTAACCATTTAAAATTATTTACCACTTGTACGCAAGCAGCCTGAAGTAAACTAGTGCAATTTTGTACATAGTTTTGTGACTTAAATACAGAAGACATCACAGCTTGTTTATCAGAACTTTGAATAAATTCGGCCTTTTCTGACGGTTTAATTTCAGATGTATTTTTATTCCTTGTTGTGGGGTAGAATAATAAATTATGCTATAAATTCTGGCAAATTTCACAAAGTTCTATTTTTACTTTACATTACGAAATTAAATGTTTGTTAACCAAGCATTTATAACAACGTCCCCCTTTTTTTGTTTGTATCGTGTTTGTTCATTGGCGAATGTTTTACACTTTAATCCGGAATGAGGATTAGAAATACAAACGTAGCACGTCTTCAGTTTTATATTTAATGCAGAGCTGATGTTGGAATATTGGTTTTAAATCTAGCTTGAGGTTGAGTGTGATCTTTTCCTTTTAAAGGTTCCAGTGTCCTTAAAGAAAGCCCAGAAATAGATCTTGCAGCTTCCCTACATTCGATTTCAATTTAATAAAATTCATTAGCTGATTTATGTCAGTAGAATTTTAGGATCTTTCTTGCGATAAAATTCTATCACTAAATCCTAAGGTAATTATTTTAATAAAATTGGTATTAGCAGATGAGCGTAATTTCCGGATTCAAACTCCTATAGAATTTAGATTTGTTATACTAATTTCACTTTCTTCATACAATTTTCGAAGTGCGAGGAGATTTGAAGAAAACTTTAACTGGTTTAATTTCTAATAGTTTATTCATGAAACAACTAATCAAGTGTTCTTGTTTACCGTATCGCTCCTTTAACAAAACCAAACAGGATTTATAATTTTGTCCGTGAGCGTGAATCCCGAAACAATTTTGTGAGCATCACCCGAAAGAAAAGATTTTAGATATATGAACTTGTCAACATTACTCCATGACTCATTAGAGTCAATTACACTTGAGAAACTATAAAAGAATTCTTGAAGTAAGTTAGAATCGTCATTAAAAGTGAGAATATGTAATTTAGGCAAATTGATAAAAGATGATGTATTGTGAATATTCGAATTACAAACGTTAACATTTTGAGAAGATTCAAAATGTTCACTTTCATACTTTTTAAGTTTGTTTTAATTTTGAATTTAACATTACTTATAGATTCATTATACTCTAGTGAACTTTGAATTTCCGTATCGAACATTGTACTATCATGAATTAGGTCTTCGATTTTCAAGTTTAAAGTTAGAAGTTCATTCTGTTTTTCTTCTAAACATAACAAAAATTCCTACAAATTCTCCTGAACGCTTTGATCTTTATTAATGTCCAGACTATCAAAATAAGAGTCAATTCTATTAATTAATTTTGGCAAGCACTTCTAATAACCTTCCTCTTGGATTTCAACTTGTCAAGAGTCTCCATTTTATGCACGAAACAAAATTGAAAGTGATAACAATTCAAGCGATAAATAAACTATTAAATCACAAAGTTTCAGTACCTGCAATCCAAGTGTTCAAAATTTAGCCAATTGCAATCTGAAAGAAATAATACAAACAGCATTCGCGGGGTTTCGGCACCATGAAAAAAAAATAATAATGATATCACTAGAAAATTAAACGTGATTCTTGAATGAAGAACATGTTGTCCAGGATTTTTCTTATATTTATTCACATCACACACAAAACATATTAGACTGAAAAATCGAAGCGTAATTAATCCTAGAACAGGAAATAAAAGGCTAGCCTAGTAAGCCAAGAAAAATACGTTATATAGAATTCTAAAGATTTGTTTTCATAAACATTTACCGCAAGGCCTGCCGGGAAAGAATTCAGACGACCGTTAATCACGCTATTTGATCACATGATCATTTTATTTTTAACAAATATCTGTTCTCTTTTATTAGAAAATCTCTCTGCTAGTAAAAGTCCAAGCAATACTGAAAATTTGATCAGCTATGTGAATTGACTGAATAATGCAATAAGCATAATTTTTCAAAGAGCCCTTTAAATATTGTAATTTTTGAGCTCCAGAAAGATTTGGATTGTTGCGAACATTAATGTTAAATAAATCTTTAAAAGTTACCCATTCTGTGAAATTTCCGCTAAATGTGGGTAAAAATAATTTTGGTAACTTTAAACCTTCAGGGATTGATTCAGGTACCACAGATTTGTCGCGATTTGCATCCTTTAAGCGAACTTGTAATCCTTTAACTTACAAATACGTTTTAACTGAACCTCCTCAATTTTCTCTAAAATCGACTATTCTTCCTCAACAGAAGAATCTATATTATCATTATCACAATTTGTTTAAATTTCTTTAAACAGAGATTTGAAATCTTCCTTAAATATTTTACATTTTTTAAGATTAATTCTGCTTCAGCATTATCGAAACTAGGGCTTCTTAAACTTTTTCAGTCGCGATCCCTTTTTATTACTGAAATTTTTTCACGATTCCAGGAGCCCATAATATTTACAAAAATTTTGTGGGACCCCCCCCATAAGCATTGCTCGAATCCGACACAAGCGTGAGTGAAACTGTCTATGTTTTCACTTGTACTGTAATATAACTATTGGAGTTTTAGGTCATTAACTTTAATTTCTAATTTTAAGACATAGAACAATGTGAAAATTTTAAATAAGTAACTGACAAAATGACAGCAAAGCAAATAAAATTAATGTTTGTATTATAACGAGAATGCGTCGAAACGTTTTCGTTTTTTTCTTTCTCTGCATTGTCTTATCCTTATCCATTTTCAGATACTTTGTGTAAAAATATTTGGTAACTGAAAAATTATTATAAGTTAAAGAAATATCAAAACTGCTAAAATTTTGGAGACCCCCTTCTACATGTCATGGCCCCATGCCCCATGGGGCTCGCAACACACAGATTAAGAAACTCTGATCCAAGCTAACATAATCTATTTTCTCGATGAATTTCGTTAATTGTGTTTTCCAAACACTCTTCCGTTTCTGTTTTTCTGTGTCTGTGTGTTTTTTTTTCCCTGTATGTGTTTTTTCTGTGTCTGTGTTTTTTTTTTTTTTCTGTTTCTTTCTGTGTCTTTTTTTCTGTGTTTTGAAAATATTCTAAAATCCCGATTTTACTACTACTTTAATCGCAATAAAGGAGCAAATTTAATAAAATGCGTTAAAGTTTTCACTCACCTCATGCACTGTAACCATTGCGTAACTTATGAGAATTCTAAACCGAAAACAACAATACTATGAAGACGTAGAATTCTTATTCACAAGGCGCGCCTTTTTCTCGAAACTCCGGCATATGACAGAAAAATTTTATGTTGCATCGCAGTATCTTAAATTTAAATTAATAAACATTAAGAATACAACATTTGCGAGAGTGCACAACGCAGCAGAAAGCAAAGCGTGAAAGTTACAGTTAGTGTTTACAAGAATGCAAAAAACAAAATGCGAGCTGCGCATGCGAATTGCGCGTGGCTAAAAAAGATCTATCAGGTAGACTATATATATATATATCAAACAGGCAAATTATCTGGTGGCCGAAACAAAATGTTTGAAAAAAAAAATGCGCTGGGTGATTCAAAAGTTTTTCCAATCAGTTTCTAAAAAGATATTTAAAAAGTTTAGATATTTTTTGGTTTTCACACATAACTATAAGTAAAGAGTTTCAAAATATTCTATATATCAAACAGGTAAACTATCTGGTGGCCGAAACAAAATGTTTGAAAAAAAACATGCGCTGCGTAATTCAAAAGTTTTTCCAATCAGTTTCTAAAAAAGAGATTTAAAAAGTTTAGATATTTTTTGGTTTTCACAGATAGTAATAATATAAGTAAATAGTTTCAAAATAATCTCTCATGTGAGTTTTGTATAAGCTTGGATTGAGACAATCGGAATCTCGGATCCAATAAAAACGATCAAAGATACGAAAACTAGAATATCAGCGCTTTTTGTCATTCAAATATTTCAAACTGCAACTTCAAAAAATTAAAAAAACGTTTTCACGCTAAACAGTTTCATTCAAAACCTTGGTAAAGTAAAATTTATTGAAATCCAAGAGAAACGTTTTTCAAAAATAAAATGCGGTTGCTATAAATTTAGATGTATCTGCATCACTGCAGTATAAATTTATAACGATCCCGGATTTTACATTCGAACGCACTTTTATGAAAATAAATCAGCAAGTTTTTAACTGTTGTTAAGTTTGGAAAGAGAATTTACTTTCGTGTTTAGGGCTTGTCTATGTTAACTCTTGAAACAGACCTAAATTAACTTGCTTTAAGGAACGAAATCCTAAATTGCTTTAAACAAACAACAACAACAAAACATCTTGGGATAAGAACCTATTATACTCAAATTCTACTTTTTTATATATTTTATTGCTTGAGAAAATATACTTAAAATATATGATGTATTGTTGAGAAAATGTACTTAAATGTATAATGAAAGTATAATTGTCATTGCATAATTAAGGGGGAAAAATAAAATAAAATAAAAATAAAAATGAAAAGTAAAAATAAAAGTTTAAAATCTGAATGGGTTCAGATTTTAAACGAGAGTCCAAAAGGGCTATTTTAAAGTTTAATATGATTTATCAATAGCGATTTTTAACAAATCTGGCCTAAGGGGAATATCGAAACATTTTATAGGATACTAGACGGATATATACGAGTATTTAGCTTAATATTTAAATAGTGAAAAACTATGTAATGTATTTTGATAAAAATATTTAATTTTTTTGATTAGATGTATAGTAAATTAAATGCATTTTTTAAAAACAGTTCAAATTAAAAAGTAAAAAAAAAATAATATCCTTCAGAGCTACATCTGCTGCTCTTAAATAGCTTAATTTTTAATCAACAGACAGATTAAATTTGAGAGATACATATTTTACATTTTACCGAATCGCAGCGGATTCGAAAAGTGCAACAACGCATTTACAGCGGATCAGACTTAAAGCGTATCAACGAAAAATCTTGTTTCGAGACATTTGGGGATAAATTTTTCTTCTTCAGTCACAGTAATAATTTCCTGAAGAACCTGCATTGTTTAAAACTCTGAATACCTGATCGCTCTCGACATGGACAGAATTGTATTTAAAATATACGGCAATTTAAAATTGTATTTGCTAAATTTTAAATACATATGTATTTTTAAGATTTGTACTCTCAATTCTTTTTTATTCAACGCAATTTCAAAATTTTTATTATTAAGTAAAGTTTTTCTTTTCTTTTGATTATTTTAACATAAAAGATTCGAGAAACTTTTAGGATATGAATCCCGAAAATTTAGGATTTTTCTCGTCTCTAATGAATAAATAATATTAATCACATTTTGAATTCTGGTGTCAAAAATTTGGAGACGAAAATTTCAGTGTCTTTCAAAACCAGAACTGATATGACTCTTTCACTAATTTTTTATGTAGTTTAATTATCTGAAAGCGATTATTATTATTATTTATTTAATATATATCAATAATATCAAGCTTCCATTAATACGTCCTAAAAATAAATTTCACTCCTAAAGCAGAAAGTTCTTTTATATTTCGTCACAAGCAAATATGGCTTTAGTTTCTAGCACAAAATTAATCACAATGATACGTTCCAAAAATTCTTCACATAATTAAGCTAAATCTTTAAAAAAAAAATGGACACTGAAAAAAAAAATCGGCTGTGTACGTTTCCATCATTAGTCACGGTGTGTAAATTACCTTGGTCTTTGAATCTTTTACTGCGGAAAAGAAATTAGCAGTGACTCAACATCCCATCTTCTTCTTACCATTCTGGAGACTCTTGAGACACGCCTCACCATCCCACGCACTTTTCTCTTCATTCTCCAATGCACCCATCAGACTTCACCTCGATTACCTCCGGCAAAGAGGAGGGAAATCATTAACTTCCCCTTTCAAGAAGCCGAACAATGGATCGCGACCTGATTTTCGATTCCGAAGACGTGCAGGCGAAATCTTTAAGGTTTTAGACTTTCACGCTCCATCTGCGGACGCATGCGTGAGTTCATTGAGGTATTTCTAACGCGGAATGGGGTAAAGGATGATTGCAGATTTTAAATTACGTTTACAATGCATCGTACTGTTTATCTTCAACAATATTTTATCTATGCAAATTGCGCTTATCTTTATATTTAGTTTTCTCTGTACTGATGACATGATCATTACAAATACTGTATTCAGACACTTATACTTCCTTCAATTTCTGTCAGTTTTCAGACTTTTCCCATACACTTCAACTTTTACATCTCTAGTATCTGACATTTAAAGTTTTAACTTACATTTATATAAGTGTTTTCCTTGCCTTTTGCAAACATAACCTTTCTGGAAATGTTTCGTAAACCGAAACGCCACAAAACAAAGAGCATAAACCGTTATAAGGTATTTTCTCGTTCGTAATTAGAAGCATACTTAAAGGTACTATTCCAAAGGTCCAGGGTTCGAGACCCTGCGAGGGCCTTGAACATTTTTCACGTCTCCTGCTTCAAAAAAAAAAAAAAAAAAAAAAGTAATGACTCTACTGCGACGCATGAACTAAAAAATGGTGGACGATAATTTCTTCATCGTTAGGATTTGGCGATTACGTCTCCTAATACCCAGTCACCCTTTAAAAGGCGCGACATGTAAGGTATATTATCACTCCTTTCCGTATGCCTTCGTGGTGTAATTGGAAGTATACTCTACGCATATTCGAGAGTTCCAATGTTCGAGTTTTACGTCCCAGCGGGGCCTCTGCACATTCTCCTGCTTCGAAAAACACATTCATGTATTTATATACATGTTGTATTAAATACGAGTATAATAATAAGACATGATGATCCGAAAATCCACATATAAAACAAACCTATCGATATGACAATAAAACATTTCATTTTACTCAAAAATATTTTATTAATCTTTAGTGCGTATTTTGTAAATTTAAAAATACTCAAATTAATTTCAATGCATAATAACTCAATAACATAATATTTCTTACATAGATAATCTAGTTAAGAATGCATCGTAATACCTCGTATATAAGCTGCACATTTTTTCTGAAGAATAATACAGTTGAAAATTAAGAGTGCAGTTTATTACCGCGAATGATTAGAAATAGATATACCTTGCACACACACACACTCGAAAAGAAAAAAAAAAAAAAAACTTTAAAGCTTTAAGATTTTATATTACGCCAAGTTTTGTAAAAACCGTTCGAATATTTTTTAAAAAATTAGTTCTCAAAATTTTAGCTTCTCAATATTAATTGAATTTGGTATATTTTTAATACCTTTTTAAATTAAATTTACTTAATTCCTTCATTCACAGCTCGAAATTAAGGCCCAATCCGAATAAAATTCGCAATTATTTTTTGATTTGAATTTTTGAGTAAATTAAAAAATTTTTCCCATAAATTTTTGAATGATAGCCTATAAAACTTTATAATCTTTTTAAAGTGCATGTATTGCTAGGCATACATGCAAAAAAAAACATTTCTAGTCATACATACAAGTTTTTCTTATTCAAAATTTTCAAAGGACTTTTTAACCGCTCGTGCACAATAGAAAGTGGAAAGGAAAATAGGTTGCTATAATTTAAGAAGTTCGCAAAGTGAATTATTCTTGGCGCAAACTAAAAAAAAAAAAAAAAATAGCCAAGTTAAATTTTTAAATTTCTCCATAAAGTTTTGATCTAAAATTACAAAATTTAATAGTTAGGGATAATTCGAGTCGTAGAATCAAAATATGGAAAAGGATTGGTATGTTATTTCATAAAAAGACTGATTTTGTGTCAAAATACATACGTTAGAACAATGCTTTATATAAATCCAATACACATTCTAAGTCGCTTTTTCGAGGCGTGAGAAACGCAAGTTAAATTTCGTTAATCGGCCTAGTAGAGCGGTAGATATAGAACTGCCCCTAGCCTCCCTTTTTTTAACAAGGTTTTCATATAAGAATGTTGCAACACAACAGCATGTATTTAACAATTGAGCACACAATATATATTTGTTGGGAGAACTTTACGTAAGATTGTACAACCGATAGTGATAGTGACTAAGAGGGCATAAACACAGAAACACTTTCCTGTTGGTCGATAAATAAAATATTGACCTCAATGTGTTATTGGTAATGATTTCTTTTAGCTACTTTCACACCTCCAACGGGAAAAAAAATATTGTGCACGATAAAACAGGCCATCCGCGGTTTATACTCGGATT